TGTTCTCGTTTGATTTTAACAACGACGTCGACTTTTTCCTTCCTCCATTGCCGCGATGTTGACTTTGTAACCACACCTCGTTGTTTCCAGGCTTCACGGATATTATGCTGAGGTACCGGGCCTCCTAGTTCCAGACTCCTTTTCCAATTTTATTTTTGTTTTTTGTTTTTTCAGGGTTCGTACGGGTCCTGGAAAACCTGGAAAGTCCTGGAATATTATTGTGGCATTTTCCAGGACTGGAAAGTCCTGGAAAAGGGCTGCTGGTCCTGGAAAGTTTTGGAAATCTGTTAAACTAAAGTAAAAAAATATGAAATGTATGGCAGACAGTAAGGAGAATTAATGTTACGATCTTGGGAGTGAAAGGGTTAATGTGAATTTTAGAGTCCTGGAAAAGTCCTGGAAAAGTCCTGGAAATTTGTTTCTGAGAAAGGGTACGAACCCTGTTTTTTCCTTTTCCGACCGACCGACCGACCCAAAATCAGAAAACGCATTCGACAATAAACGAAAAAAAAGGGGGATGGCGTATGGTAGAACGAAGAGTAGTCGATCTGACTTCCGGGCTTGAAATGGAATGCCTGTGGTTTTGCTTTTCTGGCTTACTACAGAAAATCTTAGATGAAGTTAAAGAGCACTGGAACACTCACCGTATTCGAGGGTCTAGACATGACACCGTGAGGGGTAGACCAGATTCACCTTATAACCTTCCTGAACTTCATGGGGCTACTGATCAGTTCTTGCTGCCCATTGGTGAAGCAGAAAGTGATTATGCTCGCTCACATGTTATTGAAAGTGATTATGACAGTGATTACCAGGAGCACTTCCAGTATGTTTATGGACTCTGTGGACTTGAGCAGCCTAATGATTGGAAACAAGCACTTGAGCTTTATAACAACTCCTACAGTTTGCCCAAAATGGAAGCACATGAGATGACCCAACTGAAATGAGTGCTTTCTGGAATGATTTTGGACCATTCATTTTTTTGCAAGATAGAGGGGGCTCTCGGTATTTGGGGGGAAGTGGGTTTGCCAAACGTATAAGCTTAAAATGAATTCAAGACTTGTTCATACATTGATTTAATACAATGGAATTATGGAGAGATATTCCAAAACAAAGTTGTTGATATTTTACCGTTTTATTCAAACTGAACGTCAAGGTCGCTATGTAACTACAACTTGGACAAAACTGTAAGGCAAGCTATCCCTCTTTTCCTGCTCAATGTCATATAGCTGCAACCTTCTGACACAACATTGAATAGCAAGTTGGGAGAATGCGCGAAGTTTGTAAAGGTTTTAGTCATAGCATATGATATGGTAGATTAAATAAATGTATTATCTGCACAAAACTGGCATTTGGCCCAAGTACTTTTGTCCAGTAACGTAGCATCCTTTCATCAAAATATGGTGCACAATAAAATCCTACTTAGTATTGTTGTTTTAACTCTACTAAAGCTGTTCTCTACGCACTGTACTTAATCTTCACAGTGATAACATTATTAACATTATGAACAGTGTTGTTCGTCCTCGTAGTCGAAGGTGACCAAAGACATCTAGTTTGTTAATAAATTTCTACGGTGTGTCCGGAGGTGGCTGATGAGACCAATCCGGGCAAGGAAGCAAAATCTGGTTTCGACCGCAAAAAAAGGGGTCCCCGCCAGTCGCGGTATACTGGCCAGGGCGAGGTGAGGCAGGCTACGTTTAGGGCACCTTTTCTAGCCCCGTCCTCATGCTACGGAGGCGAGCAGAGCGGTCCTAAAGAGGACTGCTCGGTCACTCAGGAGGCTGCCGGACTCCACTGCTGCCTCGGTCCGGTGAAGGACGACCACTTGTCCTGAGCCGCCTGTGTGCAGGTTCACGACTACAGCTCCCAGTGTATCCTCACATGCTGCTTCGCCGTTTGCCCATCGCCACAGGACTTGTAGAGTAACTGGTGGTGATGTCATGACTTGCGCGTGACTTGGATTAAAGTGAGGGAGACTTGCGCAGGAT